AAGAGGAGGGAGATAGGACTGTCCTGGAACCCACATCATTCCAGGACTGAGTGGCTGTCTTAAAGGTGGCACTGAGCCACATAGTGTGCCAGATGTGAGCAACCCAGGCCTGTGGTAAGACTGGGCTGAAAGCCAGTGTGTATCTGTAGAACATTCATTTCCACTGTTGTAAAATACAGAGCCCACCAAAAAAATGTGTACACACTTCAGGAAAAGAAAAATAGTATGTTTCTTCAACAGATGGTGTTAGTCTTGTATGGGGGACTCCAGAGGATGGTGTATATCACAGAGAACTCACTACACTGCCAGCCCTCAAAGAAGAAATTGAAAATGCACATGCAGTAATCACAACGATCAAGGTTACCCAAGCAGCAATTCATCTAATGAATTTCTGGAGCTAATGGCCACTGCTTTGAGCACCTCTTGTAATAGTAGAGGCCAAAGGTAACTTGTATTAATCTCATGATGTCTCAATAAATTTAGTATAAAATATTTGTATGTTATTTTCCTGAAGTGTGTATAGACTTTTTTGTGTACTCTGTATATTGTGTGAATATACTACATATGCCCATCATATTAATAATAAATATAATTTATTTATTCATTTAAGTCCATTCATTTATTTTATCAGTGGACACATATTATTTTTAGCTTCTTAAAATTATGTTGCTTTGAGGAAATGGTTTAATTTTTGTTACTGCAAACAATGCTGCCATCAACATTCTTATACAAGTCTTCTGATACATGTGTGAAGATTCATGGTTAGAGGAAAATATCTTATTGCCCTCTCCATGGATGGTACAATCACATTTTTATTAACAGTATGTGAGTGCCTGCTTTCTCCACATCCTCACTTATCCTTCTCTCATATTTCTGAATTTTAAAAAAATCTAGTAATTTACATTTCATGCTTAACCTCATTCCTCAAATTTGAATTTTTCTGATTCCTACCAAGATCAAGCACATTATAGAATGGTGGTCATTTATGTTTGTATTTCTGTGAAAGTTTGCTCAGGTCCTTGGTCCATTTTGTTTCTTTATTTTCTAATTGAGTTTATTGGTACATTCTAGGTATACAGTACAGTTGCATTCATCACTGGGATCTTGTACCTTTACATGACCAGTCTTGGTTCTCATTTTTCCCCTTACCCCTGCCCTTCATTTTCATTTTGGGATAAATCATATTATTTTTATTCAAACTTTTAGTACTTGGTCATATATTCTAGGTAATAATCTTTTGCCAGTTTTGTTTGTTTCAAATACCTTTCTCTATTTTGTGATATTTATTTTCACATTCTTTATAATGTTCCTTTTAAACATTTTTCATACATACATATAACATTTTTATCATAACCATCCATCACCCTATTCCCCTCCCATAAATCACCTTTTATAGAATCTTTAAATGAACAAATATTTCTCATTTTCATTTTGACAGATTTATTGGTATTTTCTTTACAGTTAGCATTTTTTGTCTTTTAGTAAGTCCTCTCTTACCTCAAAGTCACGAAGTTCTTCCATTTTCTGCTTAAACTCTTAAAGTTTTGCTGTTTAATTTACTGGGAATTGGGTATGGTGTGCGTTCGAGATCCATTTTATTTTTTTCTCTGTGTATAACCAATTAAACACGATTTATTCAATACCTTTCCTTGTACCTCCAGTGATTGCAAAGCTACCTCCACCTTATATTGTATTCATATCTGTAGGTCAGTTTCTGGGTTTTCTATTTTGTTTTATTGTTAATTTGCTTAGTCCCATTTTAATACTGTCTTAATTACATAACTTTATGCAAAAGTGTTGATATCTGGAAGTTCAAAATCTCTCACCTTATTTTTCTTTATAAGAGCTAACCTTACGCTGTGCTCATCAATATGTTATTTCAATATGTCAAATTCTTTGAAAAACTCTGTTGGTATTTTTATTAATCAATTGGAGGAGGATTAATATTTTTATGATGTTGAATTTTCCTACTTGTTAAACAGTTTACTTCAGGCCAGGGATTTAGCTCAGGGGTGCCACTGCCTGCCTTGCAAGCACAAGGTCTTGAGTTCGATCCCCTGTACCAAAACAAACAAACAAACAACCCAAAACCAAAATCCCAGTATATATCCATTAATTATGTCATTTTAATGTTTTTATTCATTCAAAACTCAACTGCTATGTGTCAGATACTACCCCAAGGTGCAAAGTCCCTGCCCTCATGGAACATATATTCTGGTAGGGAGAAAACAGTAAACAAAATAGATAAAATAATAAAGAGTTAAAAATAAGTAAATGAAAAAAACAAATGAGTAAAGGGTATAAAGGCAAAGAGGAAACCAGTTACATGCCTCTGTAGGGAAAAGTATGTCAGGCAGAGGGATGACTTATCAAGGCTTTCTGAAGAACTCTGAGGAGTCCAGAATGGCTGAGAAAGGAGACAACAAAGGGAGGAGGTATATATTCAGTCATGGGACAAGGCCCCATTCACATGGATCAGAGCAAGGCCTCTGCTTGGCCTAGGAGTAATGGGTCCTGACTGTGTGCAACAGAACTTTGCTGACTTCTGTGTTGAAAGTGAAGATGGAGGCATGGGAGGGGGCAGAGAGGCCTTCTATAATCCAGATGAGACTGACAGTGGCTCCCGCCAGAGTTGTAGCAATAGGGTGGTGGGAAGTGGCCAATGGATTTGGCCCACAGGATTTTCTGACAAACTCAGAGTGAAGTGAGAAAGAAGTTAAAGGCTGCTTAGTCCAGGAGGTTCCTTGCCAACAGGAAGATGCTGCTGCTATTCAACAAGATAGGGAGGATGAGGGATAAAGAGGCCACAGGGACAATGCCAGGAGCTCTGTACTGGAGACAAGCATGAGATTTCTATTAAATATCTCAAAGGTGAGGTTCTATAATCAGTGAATAGCTTGATAAAGAGATTCAGAAGTGAGACTCTAACTGAAGCTGGATATTTGGAAGTTATCTGTATTGTGTCATTCAGCAGCCTAACAGAAAGTAATGGAGTATTCAAATTAGGAATATTTAAGGAGGGATTATTTACCAAAAAACTATTTCCAGTGATGGAAGGTTTAGGAAAACACAAGAGACTGTAGAACCCTGGGGTTTTGCCTTAAATATCAAAGTAGAGAGAAAAGAAGTATTAGAGAAACTTGTAAGTGGAAAATTTGGTGAAGAAGTAGGCCTTGGGAAGAATCATCATTGTTTAAGGGTTCTCATACAGAAGATGTGAGGGAACAAAAGCCCAATGTTACTCTTCTTTGGCTTTTCAGTATCTTTACCACCACTTACCATTCAACACAGTAAATGAGAAGGCAGAAGATGCACCAGACTGTTGATAAAAGCACATAGAATCCAACTTCCAGATAAGATGGTAGTTAGAGCCATGACTGGATGATGTGGACATAGGAATGTATACAGCGAGAAGATCATATAAGGTCCCGGACTAAACTCTGAAACATTTTTGTTCTTAGAGGATGCACAGCTGAGGTAGTCAGCAAAGGAGACTGAGAAGAAGTTACCAGAAAGGAACACCTGAGAGTGTGTGTCTGAGAGGTTACTGAAGAAATGGTTATACAGAGTGGGTTGTTGTGTTTACACCACCTGCTGTGGGTGAATCTAATAGGATGCAGCCACTCGACGGGCAAGGGAGGTAACAAAGCACAGTTCACAGATGACAGTGGTAGTGCAAAGGGGATTGTGGACGTGACAGCGGAGTTAAAGAGTTGAGAATGGAGGGCTGGGGATTTAGCTCAGTGGTTCTGCTGCCTGCCTTGCCAGCTCAAGGATCCGAGTTTGAGCCCCAGACCCCGCCCCCCCAAAAGAGTTGAGAATGGGAAAGACATTCAAGGTTATATATAAAGGGATGGAGGGAACTGTGTAGTCACTGGAAGGAAAAGTAGATCAATGTAGATTTTTGTTTTTAAAATCAATGCATGTCTGTGTACTGAGAGGAATGATTCAGTACTGTATAAAGGGAGAGAATGGATGAAGCAGGAGAGACAAATTGGTGGACAATGTCTTGGAACAAGTAAGAAGGAGTGCTGGTGCCAGTGGAGGGGGCTTGGTTGGGCTTGGGGGTTCATCTCCAAGAACAGGACGGCTGTCCGAGTGAGGGTGTTTACAGGTGCTAGCAGGTGGACAGATTTGTGGGGGATTTTCTTGATTGCTTTAATTATCTCAGCATAATAGGAAGCAACTGCTGACAGGAGGAATCTAGAACTTGATGACTGAGAAGAGAAGGAAAAAACATGAAACCCTCAACTAGTTCAGCAATCAATATTTTTTTGCTTGCATATTTTCTAAAATAATTATGAAAAAATGACATCTCATATATTATAAAAGGGCACCTAAATGTTTTCATTATAAATTTAAATCATTATAATGGATGGAATTAATTAACTGGGGAAAGAGTTTAGCTAAAGTAGAGTTACAAACTTTTTAAAATTCTTTGGAGCTATTTATTAAAAAATTACAAGTGAGATTGGGGTTATAGCTCAGTGGTAAAGTGCTTTCCTAGCATGTGCCAAACCCTGCATTCTATTTTTGACCACCACTACTGCCCCCCAATTTAGCTGACAAGTTATTTAGTTGTTATTTACTTTAAAAACAAAGAACTGAAAACTGAGCTGCAATAGTGTATATAGTACCCAATAATGAGTCACTCATTCAACATTCCGAATTGTTTCTTGATCTGATTTCCTATTCACTGGGGCCATGAAACTTACTAAGATTCATAGCAGATAAGACGTAACTTTGCTTTTTGTGTGTGTTTTTTTTATAAAGAAGAGGACAATTGCAAGAGGAGCCTCCTGAATTCTGAGATTCTCTGGCAGTTTTAGGAAAGTATATGTAAAATTCCTCCCTTAAAATTAGCTTTGCCAATATGTCTCTTTAGAAATCTTCATGTATTCATTTTCAAAAATTGTATAAGCCTAACATGTACCAGCCCTGGGTGCAATCCCTAGTACTGCCAAAAACCAAAACCAAAACAAAACAACCACCACACCTACCTCTATTTGAGCTGCCCCAGTAGTGCACATATACAGTACTCAGGAGGCTGTGGTGGGAGGATTCTTTGGGCCCAGGAGTTCAAGGTCAGCCTGGCCAAGACAATATTCTGAGGTAACATACTGTCAAAAAAAAAAAAAAAAGTACTGGAAAACTTAACAGTTTAACTATTTTTTCCATTTTAAGTGTACAATTTAGTAATCTTCAGACATTCACATCGTGTTGCAACCATTACTATCAGAACTTTTTCATTATCCCAAACTGAAACTCTGTACCAATTAAATAGGAACTTACCCATATCTTTCCTTCCTCAGCTACTAACCAATACCCTTTTACTTTTGTCTCTATGAATTTGATGACATTTTTAGTACCTCATGTAAATAGAATCATATAGTGTTTATACCCGGTGACTTGCTTTTTAGCATAAAGTTCTCTAGATTCATTAATGCTGTAACATATGTATCAGAATTCTACTTAAAAAACAAACTGAACAAGTCACACACACACACACACACACACACACACACTATATATTATTTATCCATTCATCTACTGGTGGACAGTTGAGTTGTTCCCAATTTTTGGCAATTGTGAATTAATGCTGCTATGAGTATGGGTATACAAATATATATTTAAATCCCTGCTTTTAATTTTTAAGGTATATATTGTACTAAGAAGTGAAATTGCTAGATGGTATGATGATTCTATCTATGTTCATGTACTTAATTGGAAGACTCTGGTCTAAGAGAATGGGAATAAGAATAGACCAGAAAAATATAGTATAATTGCAGGGCATTAGTAGAGCTGAGTTGAGACTAGCAATCTTGAATTTAAAATAAAACCAGTCAACATGTTTGTGTTATTTTTCCAGCTACATTCAGTTTATACAGGTGCAGGTGTGGGTTAGATGAATGTTAGGTATGACTTTGGTTTAGCCATGCTAGTGTATAAACTAAAAATACAAATGAGTTGAGGACAATTCTGAGTGATTATAGTTACTGACTATGGATTACAAGCTGGATAAGGACTTCAAATGCATTTTATAAATTTTTCTATACTGGCCTGGCAAATACTTTGTTAATTTCTAGTTTCTTTATAAATGAAAATCTTCAAAAATATGTTTTCCAATTATTTGTTAGAGTGTACAAATAAAATTGGTTTTGTAAATTAATCATATATGAAACCAGGCTAAAAAAATCTCTCTTATTAATCTCAATTTGTATATAAATCATTTTGAGTTCTCTTGTAGAGCTTCATACTTGCCATAAACATTATTAGTCATGTTTCTTGATTTTCAATTTTGATGCTTTTCTTTCTTTTTCATACCTTGCTGTGTTGGCTAATAACTTCAGTATAATGTTAAATATAAAAGTGGTGAGGCTGGGCATGGTGATGCACGCCTGTAATCCCAGCACTTGGGAGGCTGAGACAGGAGGACCCCTGTGAGTTTGAGACCAGCATGGGCTACATAGTGAGTTCCAGATCAGTTTCAACTACATAGTGAGACCCTGTCTCAAAAACAAAAAAACCAAAAAACCAAACAAAACAAAACAAAAGTGGTGGTAAATGACTATTATCATCTGAAGACTCCTTCTAACATATCATCATTAATATAAATGTTAATTCTACTTTTTTGGTAGGCACTCTATCAAGTAAAGGAAGTTTATAAAAGTTGTCTAAAAGATATTTCATAGGGCTCACTCATGAATCTGTGTTGAGCAAATACTGATTATATGCTTCAGTATGCACTCCTGATTAAATATTGAGGTTTTTCAAATGTATTTTGGGTACTGCTGAGATTGTTGAGAGGAGGTGTTATGGTTTGGATCTTGACTGTCCCCCAAAGGCTCACGTGTTGCAGCAATCTGCAGCGGTGGGTCCAGAAAGGGGACTGGATTGTGAAGGCACAATTTCATCAGTGGGTTAATCTATGATGAGTTCACAGCAAAATGGGCTATTAGGTGAGGCCTACCTAGAGGAAGTAGCCCACTGGGGCATATGTTTGAACCCCCACCCCCAGTATCAGGAGGTAACAGTTTTGTTCTGCCACACCCTTCCACCATGATGTGTTCCTTACCATAGACTCGGAAACCATGGAGTAAACCAAGCAGCGACTAAAACCTAGGAAATCATGAGCCACAATAAATACTTTCTCCTGTAAGTTCTGTATGTCAGGTATTTTGTCACAGTGATGGAAGCTCACTGACACATATGGTTTTTCTCTAATAATTGGTTAATGGGTAGGTTAAATTTATGAATTTAAAAAATATCAAAGGCACATTCTTTATATATGGTAATCTCAACTTGGTCATGATAAAATATATATTTTAATGTTACTAATAGTCATAATAGTCAGAGAAACATGGAATAGATGTAAGGTTTACACCCAACAGTAGCAAGACAAGAATTCAAAGCCTGGTCTATCTGATTGCAAACTTGTGCCCTTGCCTTCCACCCTTCTCTTTGAAGGCAGAGACCAAGGCTTTCTCACACATCTCAAATGCCCAGGGCAATGGAATAATTATAGTGCATATTCAAGAATCCATGTTGAACAAACACTATATGCTTCAAGACCCTGGATTTTTTAAAACTTCCTTAGCTACAAAATAAAACAAAACAAAACCCAAAATGCCCAGCCTGGGCAATACTCTGTCTCAGAATAAAAAAAAATTTTTTTTAAATAGCTGGGGATGTAGCTTAGTGTGAAGGCCCTAGGTTTGTTCCTCAGTATCAAAAAAAGTGATATTTCCTAAGCAGACACATTATAGGCAGATTGGGAAGAATTTTTTCCCATTAGAGAAAGAAGCGGTGCATACAAAGACACACTTGAACACAGTGACAGACAGGAAGACCAGGTCCCCAAAGCTCTGGGAAAGAGGTATGCTCTCTACCCTACAAGACCATGGGATGGAGCTATGGGCATAAATAAGGATAGGAGATTGTACGCAAGGCTTTTGCCAAAATAGAATGAGGGAATCAGCAGTTATAGCCAAAGTAATATTTCATTGCAAGTAGAAAAACAGGCAGAAGAAACTAGCCTGTCGCCTCTTCTGAGAAAAGCAGAATAAAGTTGTAGTTCATACTTAATTTTCCACCTTGTGGGCAAAAATAAAAGGAAAATTACTTCTGGGCAAGTCTGCACGTATTATAGAATAATGAGGCATCTTAGGCAGTTTAACAAGAAGCAAAACAACAAATGTTCTCTCCAGAAAAGGATAAGGTAGTTGTATTTGTTCCCAGAACTGAATCCTAAAAAGAAATCAAGGGGACAGACAGTAAGATGCACCACCATGACCAGTCACACAGCAAGACAGGAAAGAAAGAGCAACACCTGACAGTTTAGCACTTAGGAAATTGATCAGATCTACACACAGCTCCCTCACTGCTGCCCCATGGCCGTCTCTACTTGCAGCACCAAACTGAATCACTTTATCGCTCCCTCCCTCTCCGTCTCCCTCCTTCCCTCTCCCTCTTCCCCCATCTCTCTCTTCTCTGCATTTGGTCATTGAACAATCCAACAAATTATCTCATGAAGCCATCTATTAAGTTGATCCTAAGCTGTTAAACAATATTAAACCAACTAGTTTTCAAGGTTGGCTTCCAATTGCAGATGTGGCTACTCTGTATTTCTGTGTTGGCAAAATCCTATGGTGAGTCCCAAGATCCTTTCCTCTCACCCTTTATAATCCTCTCCCTTTGAGTGTGAGAAGAACCTGTAAATATAATGAAGTACCATTTCCATAATTATGTCATATGGCAAAAGGGATCTACAGATGTAATTGACAACTCTAATTAGTAGACTTCTAGTTAATCAAAAGGTAGATTATCCAGGTGGGTCTGACCTAATCAGGGGAGCCCTTACAAGAAGCAGAGATTTGAAGTGAGATTTCTCTTGTTGGTGTTGCAGAAGCAAGCAACCTCACAGAGTTGCTTATAGAGGAGGATATGTGCCAACAACCTGATGGGAGCTTCTGGGAACAGAGACTGGTATCCAAACAATAGCCAGCAAGGAGCTGGAGACTTCACTTCAACAACCACAGTGAACTGAATTCTGCCAAGAGCCACCAAGGTTGAGAGAGGAATCTAGTCTCAGATAGTACAGCAGCTCTGGATGACAGCTTAACTTCAGCCTGGTGAAACTGTGACCAGAAAACCAGCTCACTCCTACTCCAGAAGACCAGCTACTCCTATGGCTGGTGATCCATAGATACTGTGTGATAATAATGTTTTAAGCCACTAAGTTTGTGAACATTTTTGAATGTGGGAATAGAACACAAATATCCTTCAGCTGTAAACTTTGATGATTATCCCTAGGTTGAGGTTTTTGAGATGTAGAGAAGACTTATTAAATAATGTGGCAGGAGAAGCTAATGGACTTCTGCATAAGTTAGGGGAAAGTGTCTCATTTCAGTTCATTGATGGATTCATGCTGTTCACCAAGTACTTCCAGGTCTTCCCCACTCTAGCCCTGCACTGTCTGCCTGTCTTAGTGTGGCTCCTGGTTGGGTAAAGCATGGGCATCATGTTGGTTAGTCAGTGGAAGCAGAGAGCTCTCTTTCACTCTACAGTGGTGTAGAGCAATGTTCCTGATAGCTGATTCCTAAGAGAAAGACACAAATAGTGGGTCCCATCTTCTGATTTGTGATGGATCTCTAATGGGAGTAAAAAATAAATCTGTTATTTTATTTTATTCTTTTATTAAGCTTATTGGTACCTTTTAGATATACAATAGTTATATTCATCATTCCTAGATATTTCATTTTTTGAATGCTTTTGTGAAAGGAATTGTTTCCCTAATTTCTCTCAGTAAGTCTGCTTTTTGTGTACAAGAAGGCTATTGATTTTTGTGTATTGACCTTATATCCAATTACCCTACTGAATATGTCAATTAAGTCTAGCAGTCTTTTGGCAGAGTTTTTTGGGTCTTCTATGTAGAGTATCATATTGTCAGCAAATAATGATAGTTTGACTTCTTCCTTTCCAGTCTTCATTGCTTTTATTTCTTTCTCTTGTCTAACTGCTGTGGCTAATGTTTCCAGAATGATACTGAACAGGAGTGGTGATAGTGGACATCCTTGTCTTGTTCCTAATTTTATCATGAAGGTTTTCCATTTTTGACCAT